GAGCGTTCGCCGTCATAAAGTCTGACAGATACAAGATAAGCGCCCCCCCCCCCGGTACAGGTGAGTTCAGGCGGGTGCCGCTAGGATATTCCGGGCCATCGCGCTGCCCACCTCTGCGTGCCTCTCATCTCCTGTCTCTCCTGCTGAAACGTTTAGCTGCTGCTGTATTTGTTTCTCTGCAACATTCCGGCAGTTCTCTGGTAATCCGCAGCTCAGGCATGGCTGCTACCCTTCTCTGTCTGCCCACGTCCTTGGGACATGCCAGGTCCCCCGTCTGTCTGTGTCTGGTCCCCTGTCTCAGTCTGCCCTCGGTTTCAGGATGCCCCAGGTTCCCTGTTGTTCTGTGCCAGGTCCCATGTCTGCCTGCCCTTGTCCTCAGGACTCCCCAGGTCCCCCGTCTGTCTGTGCTGGGTCCCCCGTCTCAGTCTGCCCTCTTCTTCAGGATGCACCAGGTTCCCCGTCGTTCTGTGCCAGGTCCCATGTCTGTCTGCCCTCGTCCTGAGGACACACCAGGTACCCCATCTCAGTCTACCCTCGTCCCCAGGACGGGCCAGGTCCCCCGTCGGTCTGTGCTGGGTTCCCTGTCTGTCTGCCCCTCGTCCTCGGGATGTGCCAGGTCTCCTATCTGTGCCAGGTCCCCCGGTTCAGTCTGCCCTCATCCTCGAGATGCATCAGGTCCCCTATCATTCTGTGCCAGGTCCCATGTCCGTCTGCCCTCGTCCTCGGGACACACCAGGTCCCCCATCTCAGTCTACCCTCGTCCCCAGGACACGCCTGGTCCCCCGCCTGTCTGTGCTGGGTGCCCTGTCTCAGTCTGCCCCTCATCCACGGGAAATGCCCGGTCTCCAGACTATCTGTCCTGGGTCCACTGGTTCAGTCTGCCCTCGTCCTCGGGACACGCCTGGTCTCCCGCCTGTCTGTGCTGGGTCCCCTGTTGCTATCTGCTCTCATCCTTGGGACCCTCATCTCAGTCTGCCCTCATCTTCGGGATGTGCCAGGTCCCAGATCTCTACCGCTAAAAATTCTTCTCCATGTCAGTCCCTCTGCTTCACTGATACCTGATGTACTGGTACAACGTTCCGCCTCCACAGGCTTCCTGTCTCTGTGACTTAGCTGCCCTGAGTACAGACTGATCTCTGCTCTTTCTGCTGTTTCAGGTAGAAGATGCCATGCTCATGTTCGATAAAACAACTAACAGACACAGAGGTAAGTGGCCTTCATGTGTGCTGTGTGCAGAGCTCAATCCGGTGGTCACTAATACTGTGTGCAAAACTAAGTTTGATGGACACATGGCGTTGCTTTGACGTTTGAAACCCAGCACAGAGTAAACTGGGATCGACCTCAATCTGGGACACAAGCCATGTTGTTTTGCCCGAGGAGGGAAGGGGGTCACCTATAGGTCACTTCCGTAGCTGTGCTGTGCTGATACTGTGCAGAAAGACAGAACTATGCTACTGGTAACAGCAGATCCTTTTGACTTGCCCCCTTTTTTTGGGCTTCCATACAAGGCTTGCTGGTATGGGTGATTCTAGGACTTTTTAAAGGAGGAGTGGCCTAAGAGGGGGGTCATAATTTAACAGGGACTAACTTTATTATTAGCCAATGATTTGCGTTGAGTCGGTGATGGACAGGGGATGGACACTCTGGGAGCTGGTGACTGTACCCCTGTGGTCCTGCCCCTGAATACCTGCCTGTGTGGTGGGGTCCTGGCAAATTGTCACATCCAGAATGCCCCCCCCGCCCTCCTCCTCCACCCCATTAAGTGCACTCTACTGCCTCCTACTGGTGAGCCAGATTATGATCTAAGAGGCTGCAGTCTGCTTGGCAGCCTGGTCTGGGGGCAGACAGCACAGTTAATGTGGGTGGGGGGGGGTCGTGTGAGCCTGCCTGGTATTGGCAATTAAGGTTTCCACGGTGACACAGCTGCTGTCGTTATCCTGAAACAGAGCGACATAATGTAGTCGGTCCCCGGAAAATGATTTACTCAGGGACTGTGTGTGTGTGTGTGTGTGTGTGTGTGTGTGTGTGTGTGTGTGTGTGTG